AGGTTCCTTGAACATTTCTAAGAATATGTATATTAGTGCCAAATTACCAAATTTGTAAGTCTAAATATATTTTCTTACTGTTGAGACAAAATGTACTTTTTCTTAAATCAAATCTATATGTCTGTGAATATACAATTGAATATTTTGTGGAAAAATTGATCAGTAAAGAATTTAAATTTTCCGTGAACGTCTGCTTGAATGTCTTTGCAGGTGGTAATACTGAATGCAATCTAAATGCATCCAAAAGCTCTCTTCAGCAGACATAATGGGTCTTCTGTGCCTTTGCCTCTGTGAGCTTTCCAGCCTTGCCATGGAAGAATTCTGAAAGAGTTGGCTGCTTTCTGTGGTTTTGATATGGTGGTGCAGACCCTTAGGCTACATCTACACTGGCAGCTTCTTGCGCAAGAACTCTTTTGTGGAAGAGTTTTTGTGCAAAAACTCTTCCACAAGAGAGCATCTGCACTGACGTGCTTTTGCGCAAGAGATGTGCTTTTGCGCAAGAGTATCCATGGCAGTGTAGATGCTCTCTTGCGCAAGAAAGCTCTGATGGCCATTTTAACCATAGAGGCTTCTTGCGCAAGTAATTCATGTTGCCTGTTTATACTGGCCTCTTCTAGAAGAGCTCTTGCGCAAGAGGACTTCTCCCTGAGAGGAAGTGTCAGAGTTCTCACGCAAGAAGCCCTGATTTTCTACAGTATAAATTCAGTTTACTTGCGCAAGAACACGTGGCCAGCGTAGATAGGCGGCATGTTTTTGCACAAGAACGCGCCAGTGTAAACACAGCCTTATTGGAACAAATCAGCAAAGCTCAAGTTACTTCTGTGGAGTTATGCTCATTTTCACTGTCTGAAAATCTGGCCTTTCCTCAGCAGACAAACCAGTTTCATGAGCTGACATTTAATTCAGCTAAAAGTTGACAATCATTTTATGAAATGAATTGAAATTATTTCTATGTACCGTATTTTCCGGCGTATAAGACGACTTTTTATACTAAAAAAAATCCCCCAAAAATCGGGGGTCGTCTTATACGCCGGATATAAACATACAGGCAGTCCCCGACTTGCAGGTACGAACGGGGCTTTTCTCGCCCTGGAGGACACGGACTGTGGGACCTTGCGGTCCCGCCGCCCATGTACTCCAGGGCAAGAAAAGCTGCTCCGCGTCTCCCTGGTCTGCAGACCAGGAAGACGCGGCGCAAAGCCGCGGAGGGGCTCCGGCAGCGGGGCAGCCCAGATGCGCCGTGGCTGTCCCGCTGCCGGCGTCCTCAGAGGCTTTGTTCCGACTTACATACAGACGCCAGTTCCGACTTGCATACAGATTCAACTTAAGAACAAACCTACAGTCCCTATCTTGTACGTAACCCGGGGACTGCCTGTACTTAGGTTTCCAGAAAGCCTTTGACAAGATCCCACATCAAAGGCTCTTAAATAAAGTAGGTTGCCATGGGATAAGAGGGAAGATCCTTTCATGGATTTATAACTGGTTAAAAGACAGGAAACAAAGGGTAGTAATAAATGCCCCCCCCCTGCCGCTGCGGCTTTGGTCCCCGTGTCCCTGGTCTGCTGGGGGGGGGCGCAGCTAGTCCCCGCAGCAGACCAGGCTTTTGTTGTGGACCCTGGGGCAGAGCAGCTGGGGCGCTGCCAGTTGGCCTCTTAAGGGGGGGTAGTCTTATACGGCAAGTATAGGCAAAAACCTATGTTTTAACTAGAAAATTAGGGGGTCGTCTTATATGCCCAGTCGCCTTATACGCCGGAAAATACGGTAAATCCCATCTGCACTCCTAACCAAAGCAGCACCTTCTCCTCAATGCTCACAGGCACCAGCCCCACCTTCCCTTGGCAGCCAGTTAGCCCATTTGTTATAGTCCCTTTCCCTGCCCCGGAGCTCTCTGCTGAATGCACAGCGGTAATCCATGCTAGCAGCCTTGCCTCTCTTCCTGAGGCTGTGGGGGCTGTACACAGAAATACCAGATCACAGGGTATTCTGGAGGGGAGAAGGCAGTGGCCAGGATAGTAGCAGCAGGGGGGGGGCTAATTGATGGTGGGGACAGCAAAGAGCGGGAGGAAGCAGCAGCAAAAAGGTGAAAGGTCAGGGGTAGAAGCAGCAGCAGGAAGGATGAAAATTAGAGGGGTCTCAAGGGAAGGGAGGAAGAGGAGAGGAGTAGCAAAAACTGATGGATAAGTGGGTGAGGGAGAGACAGAGGAGCCAAGAGTATGGGGAAGGAGCAGCGATAACCAGAAGGTAATGAAGCAGAAGGAGAAGGCACTTCTAGCAAATGACAATGTTGCCTATGAGATCAGTGTGGCCCCTAGGTATGTCTACAGTTGCACCCTCTTTTGAGAGAGGGATGCAAATGCAGCTGAGCGAAATTGCAAATGAAGCATGAATTTGAATCTCCCGTGCTTCAGTTGTATATTCGCGTTATGGAGCTATTTCAAAATAGCGCTATTTCGAAAAAAGATACGCGTACTAGATGCGGTTATTCCAAAAGAAAACCCTTCCTCCGAAATAACTGGTAACCATCATTGTAGGAGGAATGAGGGTTATTTCGGAAGAAGGGTTTTCTATTGAAATAACCACGTCTAGACAGCATTTCTTTTTTCGAAATAGCGCTATTTCGAAATAGCGACATAATGTGAATATGCAAATGAAGCATGGGAAATTCAAATCCGCGCTTCATTGGCAATTTTGCTCATCTGCATTTGCATCCCTCTCTCGAAAGAGGGTGCAAGTGTAGATATACCTCTAGGCTGCGTCTAGACTGGCATGATTTTGCGCAACTACTTTTAAAGGAAAAGTTTTTCCGTTAAAAGTATTTGCGCAAGAGAGCGTCTGTACTGGCATGTGCCTTTGCGTAAAAGCATCCTTGCCAGTGTAGACGCTCTCTTGCGCAAGAAAGCTCCGATGGCCATTTTAGCCATCGGGCTTTCTTGCGCAAGAACTTAACTTTGCTGTCTACACTGGCCCTCTTGCGCAAGAGGGCTTATCCCTGAGCAGGAGCGCCTTGTGGCCAGTGTAGATAGGCGGCAAGATTTTGCGCAAAAGTGGCTGCTTTTGCACAAAATCATGCCAGTCTAGACGAAGCCCTAGTGTCCACAGGAGCTGAGCTAAGACCTGGCTGTCCAGCCCCTCACTCGCTCTGCATGGCCATTGCAATGGTGAAATGTGAACAATTCTAACTGCTGCATGATCACTAGAGTCCCAGTGCTGTTCTCTCCTGGGGCTGCAAGAAGCCCAAATCAATTTCACAAGGAAATCGGCTCTGCTGAAGGTTTGCATGGGAGGTGGGGAGGTTAGATGGAGAATAGGGTCAGCGAAGGGAAGGTGGATTGTGGGCAGTGAGCGATGGAGAGCCAGGCTCCTAGGGAACAGGAAGGAGCTGATGAAGAGCAGGTGAGGTGAGTGCTGGGCGTGGAAGGAAAGTGGGGATCATGTGGACCTGAGGGATAGGAGTGGGGTTAGGAGCAGAAGGGAGGCAAATGTGGGGTTTGCCAATGTAGCTTACGTGCTGTGATATGCTGATAAACACGCTGGTCTTGCAGACCGCTCACTAAGGTACAAACATGCCCAGAGCTATCCACGTAACCACCATCCCAGTCCCACACTGGCCATGCTGAACACCTCAGGAAATGACTGGATTTAGTTTGAGCAGGTAAAGGCACCCTATCTGAGATTTGCCCTGGCACTCCCCTGCTCGTCCCTTTGCCCCCTCCTTATTTAACATTCACGTTACCCAAAAGGGCTCGCTCACCATCCCAAAGGAGCAGAATGAATTGTGGTGTTACTCCAGTGATGGCATTGCATGGCCTGGCCTCGAGTACCATTGTGAATTTACAGGGAGCAGGCAACCATTTTGTCCCCCTGCCTGGCGGGGAGCAGCGGGCGCTGTGCTGGACACAGGCGCTGCTCCATTCATGGCCTTTCAAAGCCACAGTCAGGAGACAAGAGTATTT